CTAATGGCCGGATATTAATAAAACAATAGAGGCCGACGGCCACAGTCTGCTCCAACATGAGTATGATCGTCTGCTCCAACATGAGTCAGATAACCGACGACGTCCATTCGGGCGAATTCATCGAGGAGAAGCATCTCCCATTTGGGTGGCACATTGCTCTACTAATACATCAAACGGCCCTACCGAATGCTAAAAACGCATCTGCAGTTGTTTGAATAAATCGAAAGTGAAACCTAAACGGCCGAAAGACTTTCAAATTGTTCTATTACAATTGAAAAGAGTTCACTATTTCATGATTAGAGGCTATCGAGGCATAAGGACGGATGCGCCTGTTTTTGCTCTAGGGCAAGGCAGGCGGAGAACTCTTTCTCAATCAAAAAAGCTAAGTCCAAAAACTTAGCATTATGCGTATACAAGGCTAATGGGCGAATGCGCCTGTTCTGCTTTAGGGAAAACCAGGCGGAATACTTTCCCTAAACAAATAAGCTAAGTTAAAACTTAGCATCTAATTTTAACGAGGCCTATGGCCGAATAAAGTTAAAGAACCGACTGCTCTGCATGGCCGTCTGTCGCTTGGTTTGGGGAAATCACCATAGTGATTGATTGACTTAGAAACCATGCATACTCTTCTAAGTATCAATAATTTCTAAGTCAATCAATCCAATCAACCAAAACCAATCGACATCCGCCCAGGGGCAAGAACATTCGCATATTATACGGGCTAAAATACTTAGCTAAAGATCTATGCGTAAAAATAAGCTTTGAAAATTTTTAAAGCATGCATAAATACCAATATAAATAAAACCGGCCAAATGACCGGATGCTTCATAAAATTAAACAGCCGTCAAAATTGACGACTGGCAAAGTGTTAACTAGCCAGGGAAATTTTTAAGTTACCCGACCCCTTGGTCGGTAAAGAAACATTCAAATACACGGCGCACAGGCCGAAAAGTTAAACATATGGCCATTCGGCCGCAGAAAGACAGGTAAAGCTTAAAGATCAGGGGAGCTTCTCAGCATCGGCATCCGCCTTGTCCTCCGGCACATGCTATCTATTTTCCTTATCCTCCTCCTGATCATCCTCCTCCTCGTCCCCAGACGACGAGCCGCCAGACGAGCTAGACTCCCCAAGGCACTCTTGGCAGCCGCATCCTTCTCGGCCGCCTCTTGAGCTTCTCTGAGGAGACGGGCATTGAAATCGTCATTAGCCTTATCAAACTGGACCTTCCAGGTTTGATAATCGGCAGACGGCTGAGCAGCTGCCCAGGCCGCACGCATGATGACTTCGTTATCGTCCATCATTTGTTTGGCCAGGGCTTGTTTTTCCTCCTCCATCAAGGACCTATACTTGGTCTGGAGTTGGTTCTCCTAGTTGCTCAGTCGACCTCTAAGTCTCTTGACCGTCGCCTCCAGGCTAGCCGCTTTGGACTCCGCCTCCTTGAGGTTGTCCAGCTTCTCGTTAAGGCCCTTGACCTGGTCCTGGAGCTCCCTCACCCGCTGCTTGGTCGCGTCTAAGTTCTGCTGAACTTGCAGGTTGGCAGACGCCTGGGAATAAAACACATCAAGTGTCAGAATCTCATTTTGAGCAATCTCAAACTGAGCTTTGTCCAAAGTAGAGGCGACCCGAGCATTCGCTGTCTTTACCTCCCTGGTCTTCTCGTTAAGGGGCCCTTTGAGACCACTAACGCGCAGCATAGCCTGCAAGCGTCCAAACCAAAGAAACTTGTCAGTAACCATTCGACAAAAATATGTACATAAATTAAGTTGTAAGGAATTGTACTTCGCAAAAAAGCGCTAGAATGCCGTCTAGGTCCAGGGTGCCGACTCCTCTGACGGCCGCCTTGTCCTTAGGATCAAGCGTCTGGAGCATCCGTCTGGCCATCTGGAGGACAGTTGGCCTCGCTGGGGCATCTATCAGACAAATACAGCTAAGTCAAAGACTGAATATTGTGCCCTTTATAAAGTGCATGGTCGAATTCTTGGATGGCTTACCTCCATCTCCCCCGGCAGCTTCGTTGCCGCCTGATGTGTCGCCAGCAGTGGTGAGTGGCGTTTTGCCACTCTTCGACGCTCGTTGAAGAGCGTCCGTCTTTGATGGTGTTTTGATGGGGGAAGAGGCGCCTGTCCCTTTCTTAGCGGGCTTGGTGGCGACGTGTTTCCTCCGGTTTTGGGAAACTTCGCCAGCTGTCTGCTTTCGCAGCTTGGGGTCCGGCTGAGAAGTAGGGGTAGGCTTTGATGAGGCACTCTGAAAAGAAGTCCAAGCGTGAGTATCTTCAGCGTGAGTATCATAAGCAGAAACAAATAATCATAAGCAAAGGAAATAAAATCATGCGGCTAGCTACCTCTCGGCATTTCAGTACTAAGCCCGCAGGCGGCTAAGTACGTCCCGTCCGAGAGCCACTCGAATCAAGGAATATAGCTCTGGGGGGTGACCTCCTTAACCCCCGTCTCTTCGTTCGTCCGGACGGCCACAGAAAAGAGGCCCCGGTCAAAAATCTCCTCTTGGGCCCGCCTGGGAACAGGCGGAAGAGCCTTTTTTCCATCCAAGAGGCGAGGATACTGAGTCCAGCGGTTGTACCGCCTGTTCTTTTGGGCGTCTAGGGAAGAGACTATGTAAAACTTGGTTCGCCAGTCCTTCCACTTGTTCTCTTTCCCCAGCGTCATCATGTACCGGGTATGGCTGGTCAACGTAAACCAGCCGATGCCACTTGGATTGGGCGTTCTGCTCAGATAGTGCATATGAGCAAACGCCTCAAAGCTGGGATCCACCTTTAGCATCTCGCAGGCGGCAACGTAGCCCAAGATATTTACCCAAGAGTTGAGGGCTAGTTGCCAGATACCCAGCTGGTATCCGTCCAAGATCCTCTCCACGGCCGGATGGAGAGGAAAGCGAAGTCCTGCCTGGATGGCCGCCTCATAGCAGCCGAAACACTGGTCACCATAAACAACCATCTCCGGCCAAATGACCGTGTCCTCAGCATCCGGCACGGACAGAAGAAAACCATGTCCCATGACATGGGTAGAGAGAAATTTGGGAAGATCATCCGCCATGATCTTCCGCCTGCCTTCCGGAACGTGCAGATAGTAGGGCGCACGTTCATGCCGCCTGGAAGCAAACGGCTCTGCCCAACCCTCTCCCTTCTCAACGGAGAGGGACTCTCTGGCAGCCTTTAAGTTTGACTGCGCCTCCTATGAGTCAAGGGGAACGCAGTTGGAAGACGATGACGCCAAGTCATCAGAACTCTCTTCGGAGCTAGGGGACTGCCGGCTGTTGCCAGCAGTGTCCCCCCTAGCTCATCATCCGGCACCGATCCACTCGGCCCGACGTTCTCAAATTCCTCGTCGCACTCCTCCAAAAACGAGTCATTTGGAGTGCTGACGGTGCTAGGCGGGTCTCTGCTAACCTCAGAGACAGGCACCCTAATGGAGCCATCGGAATTGACAGTCTCACTGTCCTAATGGTAAAAGGAACCATCCGCTCTATATCTCCTTGTCGTTTGCTTTGTTCTATCCATCGTGTCCTGCAGAGGCACAAACACTGTTGGATTTGGAGATGTACTTAAAGCAAAGTTCTCGAACGAGCATTCGGCACTCCTAGTTTTAGATTCAGCCGTCCCCGGTGACCGGCTGATCGCTAACCTAGGTCGTGCCTGGTGCGTTTGGGAAACCATTTCGATAAAGAAAAATGCAAAAAAAATAAGTGAAAAGGGATCAGGCGGTTACCTTAGAAGAAGGTAACGAGAGACGTCGGTCTTGAGCGCTTGATGAGGCAGGCGAACTAGGGGGCCGGGTGTCGGATGCTCTGGAAAGTCATAGTCCTTGAAAGTCAGAAGGTTCAAGATTCCTTGAAGATTCTCGCAAATGTGAATCCAAAAGGAAGTCAAACCCTTCTATTTTATAGAAGGGTAAAACCCTAATTTTTTTCCCTCCAAAAGATAATTTGAAAATCCGGCCAGTCGAATGTTGACACCTGTCACAGGTGTCATGTGCAATGCACGTGACCCCTGTGAGGGGCAAATGATTTGGGTATTTTTATACCCGGCCAAGTGGCCCAATTGTAAGCCGCCACGTGTCATTGGTAGAGGTGCCACCTGGACCTTTGAGATGGCGACACGTGGTAGGCAGCCATCCCTCCGTTCTGGGATGATTGATGATCCAGAATGGACCATTAGGAGGGCGACACGTGTCACCCTAAGAGGTGCCCGAAAGCTTTTTGGGATCAGTGACACATGTCACCCAGATATTGCTTCTAGAATGGCGGCCTTCAAGGGCCCAAACCTTGAGGCGCCGTTTTGCGGCGTGACCTAATCCCTAGGTCACCCGATCCTAGGGAGGGCACACTTTTCCAAAAGACCCTATAAATATGGACAATTCCCTCATTTATTACAAGACACAGAACACGAGACAACACGTCACATCCACATTTATTACAGAGTTGTCATTTTCAAGAAACAGACAACACCTTACATGAGCTTGGAATCCGAGCAGATAACTTTATTTCCGCACGTCTTACTTCGAATACTTTACTAACTTAATCTTCGGAGGCAGACCACCGACCATCCGGCGGCCCGTTCAGGCACCCTTTGCTGAATCCAGTCTTAGTGTTGTAACTCTCCCATGGGACAAAAACCCCCGAAACAAAACACATAATCACAATTAATATGTCATTAAGATTTAAGGTTTAAAAGATTTAAAAAATTTTCGTCAAAATGAAAAATCTCTCGAAACAGACATTTCTAGGCAGTATTTGGATTTTTCACAATTCTTTAAGGGGTAAGAATATTTTCAGAACATCAATTCCACCCAAAATTCACTAATCATGGGTGAAAATCTGGATTTGGGAGCCAAAATTCTAATTAAATTGAGATTTAATAAAATCGAGCTACTAACTAATCTAATTCTTGACAAATTTTCCTTTAAAGAAAACCATAATAGAATTGTGGCTTAAAACGACGTCTTCCTTGTCCGTTTTTTCTTTTTTATTGTCTAACCAGCGTAAAACACACAATATTTTCTCATTACTAAATATCCCGCAATTTAAAAAATCCTTTACCGAAAGAGACGAGTAAAAAGGACAGAAAAAAAAAATGGTGAAAGAAATTCAGCGACTCAGTGAAGACGAAAGAAAAGCTCTCAGACGCAGCAAATTCGCTCCACTTCCTCCTAAACCTTCTTCTTCGTCGTCGTCTTCTCTTCCCAGGTACGCAAACTTCTCAATTTATCTCTTCATTCATTTATTGAAATAATGTTATTGCTGATTTGTCGATTGATTTCTTGTTTACGTGTTTGATTTTTTTTTTTTTTTTTTAATGTGTAATCGGTATTTTTCTAATTGACAGTCGTAGTTTTAGTCTCAGAAATTTTGTATTTTGATGGTGAGATCTTAGTTTTGATTTCGGGTTGATGAGATTTGATATATTGTTTAATTATACTGATATGAGTTGTTCTACTTATGTTTATGTCAATAGAATTCTAATTACTACCTCTGTTTTATACTATTTGTAACGATTAGACACTTTCTACTCACACTGTAGTCAAATCTGTGCAAATTATATGAAATGGACGTAGTATTTTGATGAGAACTGTCTGAACTAGTTGGTGTTTCTATGTTTTCAAGTTGCTGAAGGCTTATTTATCTGAAAATATGGAGTTTAACCACTGAAATCAGCCTAGTTCTTTATCAAAGGAAATAAAATGTAATTTTCTGTGTCTTAATCATGCATTGGCTTGTTGGGAGTATTAAAGATTTGTAACAAAATCTTTTTCTCGGGCTTTGTGATTAATGCTCCATTGTCGCCATTACGCGTGGTTTTTATTGTGAAATGTTCTTGATCAAGGTATACAATTACAGTTACAATTAGAAATTGTAGAAAAACTGGTGTTTACTCTATGCAACATCATGATCATTTGACCGACCTACTTGAATGAAAAAACTACACTTTTTTGGGTCTTACTATATATTAGGGGGTTAGATTTTAGGATACATATTGTTTTTCCGAAACCCAATTGAAAAATGAATTAATTGTATAATTCAGATGAGCTTTCTGTTGAATAATCAGTAGACAAATAGAGATTACTTGTATATGATTTCTATCCTAATTGTTACTAGTGATGTATTTTAGTTTGTTGAAAAGTTTTTGCAATGGTTTTTAAATACGTGTTAGCCAAATACTTTTGATGATTAGAACATGAATAAATTTGAATCAGGCTTGCTCATCCTGGTGGACCTGTAACGACAAATAAGGCAGCTGCATTGGCGAAGTTTCTTGAGAGGAAACTGCAGGAACCTGGTGGATTGGATACCTTAAAACCTGAACTCATTGAGCTCGCTGTCAAGAATGCAAAGGAGACTGTGAATGCTAGTGAGTATTCTGCACCAAATATTTTATATGCCATTGATAGCATAATTTAACATTGTTGGGTCAATATCAGTTTGAAACGCATTCTAAACCACAAGTTTGTTCAATATCAATTGAAAGTCAAAGTTTCACTTTTTTTCTCTCTGCTGTCTTCCACATTATGGTTGGTACACGCTATCAATTTCTCCATATGCTCTGTTGGTTGAGATGGGGCGCTATACTGATATGCTCCTCGCCTCCTCCCATGAGTTCTCCTTTTCCACAACTTTTTTCTCATTTACTTGTTAAGCTGCAAGTGTCATGCTATTATCCAATATATCGGCCTTTTTTTCCCATCAGTTCATCTCTTGCTACATAAGCCAGTATTTAATATCTGTTGATTATATCTAAGTCGCAAATCTTGTTTGCTATAATTTAGCTACCCCATTGCTATACAGTATTAGTGATTTAGTTACCTTAACCTCTTCGGAATGGGTACATCAGTCAATAGTATTTCTGGATTTTAATGTTTTCTAATCATTTTTTGAGGATAATGGTTCAATCTTAAATTTTTCTAAACCTATGTAAGTATGTATTTGTTAGTTGAGATGCGTGAAGGTCAGATAGGAACATTATTTAGTGCATCAATAAATTTTTAATATCTTTCCCATCATTATTCTATAATATATCTGCACCGAATCCATGCACTTTATAATGATTTTACATAAACTACTTGTCCACACCTATCTTGTGTAGATCAGTAAGATCACAGGGGACAAAGAATCTAAGATACTTGTGTTTATCAAACTATAGTCTGCTTTTCTGGCAAATCTTTGGTGTCTGGGTAGAATAAGAGCTCGCACTTTTTAGGTGACTGGTTTATTAAGTGATTGACTGGTATAAGAATACATCTTGTTGTATAAGAATATGTCTTGTGCAGTTGGGACTATGGAGCCTTTAACTGTTTACACAGATGATGAGATTAAAAGAAACTGCAGAGACTTGGATTTGGGTGTCATGTCTGACACTCCAGATTTTATTAAATTTTATACAAGGCCACTATATATTTAGGTGTCATGTCGTGTCAGAGTGTCAAAGGTTCCGACACCTGACGTACAGCAAGGTATCGAAGTAACATAGGTATTTTTTTTCAACATTTTTCTCTCCATGTGCTCCTAATCTTGAAACCATTATTTTTTCTCATTTTAAAGAATGAAGAAAGAACAGGACTAAAACACTTCTTCCCTAGCTAGAGAGTGAGAGGGTCAAACCCACAAGATGGAAGTGCTATTTCTGTTTAAAAAAAACCTGTCAAGCTGTATGCTGAGGCTGATAGAATGTTTCTGCTAATCTATTGAGTCTTCTTACAGAAAAATGCCTTTTTTTTCTATACATTTTTATATCAGTTGGACTGTTAGTTGCATACATAGTAATTTATTTTGTTGCTTCACTTATTTCTTCTTGACCTGTAATTTTTATTTACCTATTCATATTGTCCTCATATATTATCATTGTCAAGCCATCAATTGGGATGATGAAACTGTATGGTGCATTCATATTTTAATTATTTGTCCAAAGATGCCATATAAGCTGAACTGAAGACTGTTATTTATATACAGGTGGAACTTCAAAACATGGGAAGATCATACGACATGTCACTTCGTTTGATGATGATGAGGTCCATATTCATTCTTTGAGTTGTCTGCACTTGTTGTGCGTTTTTAGCTTTTCCTCACTACATGAAAATTTTGGCAGGATCATTCATCCAAAGATGGATCAACATTTGAGCCGAAGAAGAAAAAATTGAAAAAAGAAAAGAAAGATAAGAAGAAGAACAAAAAGAAAAAGGTTATCCCTCTTAGCTGGGTTTCCTCCCCTCAACCTCTATGTTCCAACTTTTGATTATGAGAAGTAAATATTAATATTTTTTTTTAACCCTATCTTGCTTTTTCTTATTTTCCCCTCTTCAGGTCGAAGATCAATAATGTTCAAGGAAGTGTTTTAAAGAGATCTTACAACGTGGATAGTTTAGGTTTTTATGTTACTGATCAACTCGTTTTTGTAGAAACAGTTAACAGAAACTTGTGGATAGATTTGAGAATACTTATAATTTTTTTTTTATGTAAGGATAAATTTACATGTGATGGATTGTCATGTGAAAGGCTTCCTTAGTACTCCCTCTACCCCATAATATAATAATTGACATTAACCTCTACACGGTACACATGTCAATATGTTATTTGATCTTATTATTATACAATTAAATATTAATGAAAATTATAATGAAAGTTATATTATAAATCTATTTCCAATACCTATCTTACAACATATTTTTTGACAAATGTTTTTATTATGTTAGTAAAAAATTATGGTCAAAATTAATAAGGGAAATTCTCAATGGTACTCTTGAGCTTCCTTCTTTTCTCAACGGTAAACACTAACTTTTTAAATTATCTATGGTAATCAATAATTAGCTAAACTAAATCAATGGTAATTTGAGTACATTAATCCTTTAATGTTAGTCTAACTGTAGTTAACTTACTTTTACCTCCAAATTAGATTGCCCTTAAAAATCAATTTTAACTCCAAATCAAATTGCCCTTTTCCCTCCTAAACCAAAATCCCCAATTCTTGTCTTTATAAACCCTCGAAACGGAAATCCCTATCCCCATTTCCCCTGTATTTCAATTATTTGCAAGTAAGCTAAGTTTCTTAATGAAATTCTCTCGTTCTTCTGCTGTTAGGGGTATCACCATTGATGAGAAGCTTGATTGGGTGAAGCATGCCCTTTGCTAATGCAAACCATCGCAGGCTGTTTTACAAGTGCAGGGCTTGCGATTTTTTTTGCGTGGCTGAAAGAGGAAGATGTAATTAGGTCGGGGGAAGAATTAAAGGTTGAACAAAGTCCCATTGTTGTTTTGAATGAAAAGGTGGATGGATTGGTGAAGTATATTAAGGGAATTGTTAAAATTGCTCTGATTATGTACTTTATTCTGCTAGTTGTTGTTGCAAATCGAAATTAGGAAGATGTATTTAGGGAGAATTGTGGTAGCCCAAGTTTAAGTCAATTTCAAGTTTATGTATTCCCTTATTATGTACTACTTTCTAATTGAATGAAAGTTTATGAATTTCCTTTATTTTGCATTCTACTTGTTTAGTATCAACAACATTAAAAGTACAAATATTACATGCATATAAGACATATATAAATGATCTAATTTGATTAAAGTCAAAGTATCAGAGAGATACAAAAACAATTCAACATAAAGCTTACATCATTGCAGATTGTGTATCCAAAAACATCAAAATGTGATACAGCAATGAGATCATTAACTAAAGTTGTCCAAAAACATTTCAGTATATAAAATCTGACATCATTAACTAAGTTTTTCCAAAAAAAACCCAACAACTAAAACATGACATCATGATTTGATTTGATTAGGCTGGAACTAAGGAGTAGGCTGGGATGCAGACACACCAGTCTTAGCCTTCTTTGCTCTTGGGGATCTTCTTAATGGTTGAGAAGAAGATGCAGGTGCTGGATCTGGTTGGTTGAGAGATACTCCTTGTCTCTTAGAGGCTTGTTTTTTCTTTGATTCTGTTGCTGTTGCTTCCAAACTAGCCTTCTCTTTGCCTGTCATTCCACCTTGACTTGTTTGTGCATTGTGCCAAAGGTTTCGCATTTGCTTCACCTGATAGTTTTAGACCTTTTCCCCTTGGCTTGCTCACCCTCTTCCCTCCTTTTGTTTCTTGCAGGTCTGCCTATTCCTCTCTTCATCTTGGGTGGGGCTATCTCAGGTTAATTGACTTTGTGGCCACTGCTCCACAACAGGGATTGCCTTGATAGTGTTGCCATAAGTTAGTTTGTACTTGGTGATTAAGTACTAGTCACTGACATACTTATGAGGGTTATCATTTGAGTGTAAGATGGCCCTCATGGCATGCTTACATGGCAAGCCAGCCAACTACCATGCATTATAAACACAAGTCCCTTCCCTCTAATTTACAGGTAGGACTGATCTCCCATCCAACACCTCATATTCACCTTCCCCACTCACCAAACACTTGCATGATCTTGATTCTTGGCTAAGGACTTGGAGTCTATTGATTATGTTTGGAAAAATTTCACCTCTCCATTTTCACATGCCTCTCTTCTAGTAGCCACCCTCACCATGGTGAGCCTCCTCACACCTGTTATAGAAAGTAAGGATAGGTTATTATGTAACTAAAATACAAGTAAATGCATAACATGTTTGGAAAGTGAGTATATATCACCTTCTAGCAATGTCATAATAGGTTTACACCTATCAAGGCCTAATGTGGAGTTGAAACTCTCAACAAAATTTGATTTGTTAACATATGACTTTATGGATGGATTAAATGCATTTTTAAACCACATTGATTGTAGTCCAAGTTTAGAAAACCACTCCAAAGCCAATGGATTAGCCTTTTTCAAACGTTCCATAGCCTTTTTAAAGCTAAAGGGGTTATATGCCCCACAAGCTAACTAAAATAATGAGAACATTAGCAAGCCAAGGAATTGTGGTTTGAAATTTTTCACCAAATGTTTGCAGCAGTACCTCCTTCTCACTTTAGGCCACAAGTCTTGAATTGCAGCCTCAATACCCTACCAATGACATATAGTAGTTATAAGTCAATTTACAATAGTATATATGAAATATATGCATAAAATGAACACTAATGCTAGAAAATCATTACCTTATGAGATTATACACCATTCATCCCCTCTTCCACTATCTTTTAAAACATTCTTCAAATGCCATAAGAAGAACTTCCATGTTTCAGCATCCTCTCCTCCCACAATTTCCCAAGCAATTGGAAAGATCTGATTATTATCATCAAGAGCAACAACTGGCAGTAGCACTCCACCATAATGACCTTTGAGATGAGCTCCATCCACCCTTATGAGACTTCTACGGCCAACTTTGAGCTCATCTAATGAATCTTTGAATGCAATGAATAAACTACTAAAAGCCAAAGGCCTTTTAGGATGGTTTGTATCATCCCATACACAAAATTCCAAAGACCCTAGGTTTAACTCTCAAATCACATCACAATACATAGGCATATCTGTGTAAGATACACCATGCCTGCCATAGATCTCCTCCAGTGCTTGTGTTCCGACTCTGTACAAACTGGACTGAGCCATATTGACCCCATATCTCTAAAACAGTATATCATTCAATGACTTTGCAAGGATGTCATTGTTTGCTCTAATGTCATCCAACAAGACTCTCTTTTCCCATTTGCAATTCATCATGGAATTTATGAGCTCAACTCCCTTGCAAGGCTTAATATAAGATTCTTATCATCCTCATTAAAAATTGAATAATGAAATACCCATCATCATGAAGAAACATCAGTAACAATGGCAGTTGAAGACCTAGGAGTCACTAAGCCATTTCCCCCCAAATCCGCTATTATCTTCCTTCTATCCCACTTGTGTTCAGAATTCTCAATGGACTTAATATATCATGTTGTACCATCTGGAAGAAGGGAGGTGATAAGTCTATTTTATATATATTTTTATTCCCCGTCTCATGGTCATATTTGTGCTTATTTGAGCTCTTTAGAGCTATTTTTATTACTAATATACGTTTTCTAGGGTTTTTGTAGAGTTGGTATTATTTTGTAGGAATTTGCAGTTTTGTGACAATTTAAGAGATTATTAAGCCACTACAAATATATTAGATTTTAATCGTATTTTATGACTGAATCTTTAAAGCTCAAGAACGAGTTAAAGAAATTTCGTTCGGTAAATAAGGACTTGATATAGTAAAAGAGGTCCAAAGTTCCTATACGAAAAACAAACCAAACAAGTGAAGGAACTTGGGCTAATGAACTATAAAATACCAAGTCCAAGAACAAAAGGGAGGTAGAGCCTTGAAGCCCAGCTCGCTGCTCAAGCTGACCGGGCCCGATCGAGCAAGGTCTGCCCCGGTCAGGCAGATATCTTCGGCTATTTGGGCTTATTTAGTTTGGGCTTATTATTTTACATATAATTCTTGGACGAGGCTTCTAATTGATTTCTTGTTTTAGTGGGAGTAGGATTAGAAGTTGACTTATTATCAAACTTCTTTTCCTTTTCCTATTTAAGTGGAGTAGTAGTACTTAGCTTAAGTAGGTTTGAAGGCAGTTTTTAGTTTTATTAGATTTAGGTAGTTTAAGTTTTGTTTTCTTTTTCTACTTTCACATCAAGATTTATTATTTTGTTTTCTTATTACTTTAATACAATTATTCTCTTTCTCTTAATTCTTGCTTTTTATTATGCTTTATTTAATTAGTTTGATTAGTTTAGATTTAATTTATGTGTGAGTATTTTTCTTTCTAGGGTTTGTGGGGATCCATAAATAATATGAAGGGGTAATTTATTATTGTTGATTGTCAATGCTTGATTAATTTCCTATTGATTGATTTAATGCTATATATGCAATTAGATTTGGCCAGATTTAATTTGTATGAGTTAAGCAATATTGATTCGAGAAATGAGAATTGATGTTTAGGCTTAGTTTCAATAGGCATGTTAATTTATGAATGATTAAGCAAAGATTCGAGAGATGAGATTTAATAGCGGTAGACTATTTCTATGATAGTAATACGTAGTGAATGCCCTTTATGATCTGACTAATTGATGCATTGATGATTGATTGTTATGTTTTACCCTAGAATATTATTTATTGGTGAACCTATGCCCTAGGCTTTTATTAATTGATTACTCCTTACTTTTATTATCCTTAGTTTAATTCCTTTTACAACAACAAATTTGGTTAAGTGATAATCTAGATTATATTAATTAAATAGGAATAGAAAGACTCGTTTTCTTGTGGATTCGACCCTACTTCCCTATCTATTATTAATTAGTGGTTTTAGGAATTACTTTTGATTAGGTGATACAACTTTAGCCTGTCAGGAGGCATGTAATCTCCAATTACAGCTCATATTTGAGCATGAAACTGAGTACCTGAAGTTGCTTGCATAGTCAACAATGATAGAAAATCAACATTATATGCAATAGTCCCTCACAACATCTCTCAAATGTTGCTTATTTGTGAACAAGTGTCATGGCTTCAAAACAATTTTACCAAAGCCCTCATCCTTGTACACTTCACCATTGTTCTATAATTTTGCAAAATAATTTTAGCTCATTTTCACACTCAAATTGAGGTTCCTCAAATGGATCAAAGCCATCCTTAATCAAAGGACCATAATCATCTCCCTGGATCTCATCTTCTGTA